CCCCGCCGCCACTCTCTGGTGCACCGGCGGCGCCGTGTCCCGCGGACCAGCCCACCCCCATTACACCATTGTGCGACCCCCTCCCTCCTTTCGATTCTCCAGGGGGGGGGGGGGGGAGTGATGTGTGTGTGTGTGTCTTTTTCTCCTCTCTGCGCGCACATCCCCCCTCTGCACTCCGGCGAGGAGAGAGCGACAGAGAGAGAGAGAGAGATCGGGGGAGAAAGAAACAGAGGGGGCGGGGGGAATGGGAGATATATGCCCACGCGGACTGGGACGTGCCACACCAGGCGCAGACATCAGAAGATGTCGAAATCGTCGTCCAGGGGAGCGGCGCTCTTGGGCTTCTTGGCCTTGGAAGAAGTCTTCTTGGCCTTGGGAGGGGCCGCCGAAGAGGCAGGAGCCGCTGCCGCCGCCGCCGCCGCCGCAGGAGCAGGGGCAGCAGCGGACGTGGTCTTCTTTTTGCGGCTCGAAGAGGAGGTCACCTGCTTGGCCGGCGCGTCACCGAAGATATCCAGGATATCAGCATCGGCGACGGCGGCGGCCGGCTTCTTGGCGGGCTTCGCGGTCTCCTTGGCCGGGGCGTTGGCAGCGGGAGCCGCGGAGGAAGCCACGGGGGTGGATTTGGGTGCCGGAGAGGCGGCCGCGGCCGCCGGCTTGGCCGAGGAGGCGGCAGCAGCAGCAGCAGCAGCAGCGGCCGGCTTGGCCGGAGAGGCAGCAGCAGCAGCGGCGGCGGTGGTGGCGGCAGCGGCGGCCGGCTGCTTGGGGGCAGGCTTGGCCGCCGGCACGGTCTTCGTGGCAAAGAGCAGATCATCATCATCATCGCTGTCCGAGAGGGCCAGCACCTTGGCCGCCGGCTTCTTGGCCGCCGCAGTGGGGGCCACCGCAGCAGGCACCGGCGTGACAACCGGCAGGACGGCAGGGCTCGAGGCGACGGCCGCCGAAGTCCCGGACGAGGCGCCCGCCACGGCGGCCACATGCGACGGCAGGCGCCGGGCAGCCATGCGCGGCCGACCACGCGCCGCCGACTTGAGCACAGTCGGCGCGGCCGGCGGCGCGGCCGGGTTTGTCGAGGCACCGGTGCCGACGCTGGACGGGGCAGCTGCCATGTCGGCGGGGTCGGTGCTGCGGCTGCTGGACGAAACGGCACCAGGGCGCTTGGGCGGCATGCCCATGCCCATGATGGGGATGGCGGCGGCATTGTCACCGAAGCGACTGGCCAGGAGGCTGCCAGCGCGCTTGGACGCCACACCGTCACTCGACGACGATGACCCGAACCCCCCATCTGAGGAGGAATGCCCGCTGTCCGAGACATTCCCGCCGGGCGGCGCCAGGGGATCCTCCTCGGAGGCGGGCTGGGCAGGCTTGCGTGGGCGTGGGGCAGGACCGCCCATGAAGATCGGCGGCTCCTTGCCGCCAAACAAGCCGGACACCAGCTTGTTCTTGGCCACGGCGCCGCCGGCCGCGGCCGGAGGAGGAGTGCCGGAGGCGGCCGCGGCCGGCTTGGCCGCCGGGACACTGACTGACGCCAGCTTGGAGAAGGGGTCATCGCTGTCCGAGTCCGAGTCCAGCAGGACCACACGCGAGGTGACCACGGGCTTGGCGGCAGCCGGGGGCGGAGTGGCCACCTTGGCCGCGGCCGACGGGGCCTTGCTAGAAGAGCCAAAGGCAAAGTCGTCCTCATCATCGGAGGAGAAAAGCCCGGAGGGCTTGGGCCTGGCTGCAACCGGGGCACTGGTGGCCGGCTGGGCGGCCTTCTTCGAGGCGGCCAGGAAGGGGTCATCGCTCTCGTCGCCACTGTCGGACAAAGTGAGGATGGCCGGGCTGCGAGCCGGAGCCGGAGCCGGAGTGGGGGTGGGGGCGGTCGCAGGCGCGGGCGCGGGCTCAGCCACCGGGACTGGGGCAGGTGCCGAGGCGGCGGGCTCCGGGGCGGTCACCTTCGCCGGGGCAGCCGAGGTCGGGGCAGATACCGGGGCGGGCTTCGCCGCAGACAGGATATCATCATCGTCATCGTCATCATCATCGTCGAACATGGAAATGGGGCGCCGGGCGGCGAAGGATGGCTTGGTGGCCGCCGCAGGAGCCGCCGCAGGAGCCGCCGCGGCCGCTGGCTTCAGCTTGCTGAAAATATCGTCATCCTCATCGTCATCATCGTCGTCGAAGAAGCTGATGGGTCTCCGGGCGGCCGGGGCCGCGGCCGCGGCGACAGGCGCGGTAGCCGGGGCCGCGGCAGCAGCCGGAGCCGCGGCAGGGGCCGGAGCCGAGGCAGAAGCAGCGGGAGCGGGCTCGGCAACAGGGGCCGCAGCGGGTGCGGGCGACTTCGCCGCAGCCGGGGCAGCGAAGAAGTCGTCATCGTCATCCTCCCCGTCGGAGAACAGCAGGCCGATCTTCTTCTTGGCCGGGGCCGCAGCCGCGACCGTCGCAACAGGGGCCGCGGCCGCGGCAGCCGGAGTCGCAGTCTCGGTCGCCGCCGGGGCCGCGGCAGGGGGCGCGGCCGACTTCGGAGCGAAGAGGGACAGGTCGTCATCCTCACCGTCGGACCCATCGAACAGGCTCTTTTGGGCAGCGGGCACGGCCCGGGCCGCGGCGGCAGCGGTGGTCGTGGTCTTCTTCGGGGCAAACAGGTCGTCGTCATCGTCCTCATCATCGTAGTCAAAGAAGTTCTGACGGCAAAGTAGGAGACGAGGCGGGGCGGGACGGGGCGGGGCGGGG